AGAATTAGCTGATTATCGTACGCACGCAGATGATCACTATGAACTATAAATGCCATGCAAGCTGTGCATGTTTCAATCCTATCTGCGCATGACTATGACTATGATACCCTCACCTATGATTAAGGATTGCCGACGAAATCCGAAACGTCAGGAAAATAAAACTCTTGTTCCAGTGGTAATGAATATTCGCAATGTAGGAATTGGGCTGGTCGTTGTGGCATTGCAATGAACTCCACTTTGGTGTACGCGGATACGGCCGGACTTTGCCGGTGAAATGTGGTGGATGACGCCTGTGAGACGGGTGTATGTCTTATCTGCAGGCATTTCTTGGCCGCTCTCAGTGCGGTATTTAGCCAAGCGACCGGCCAGACTGGTGTGTGATTCGAAGGGGCGATTTCAATTTTTGACAAGGTGAAATTGAGTCCGCTTTGCTGCTGGAAATGGTGATAATGATGATGCTGACGAGATTCTTCTCGCTGTTACTGTGAGTGATGCTGTTTTTAAGGAAAGGAGACGGGTCAGCCGCGTCAATCCTGCACTTAATCCGGAGATGTCGAACTAGGTCGATTCAAGCCATTGACGTTGTGGACACAAGAGTGGTTTTAACACTTTCAATTACATCTACTACTTTGGTGTCACACTCTTTTAGCGACCTTATTTCCCTCACGAATGACTTCCAGGAAGCTCTTCTACCGGACGGCCTTCGGCAGTTACAGTTCAAGATCAGAACTGCTTACATGATCTCCCCCCGACAGGACACAGGGATAGAAGCAACCCTCTCGCATAATACAAGTGGCCTTGCCGTAGAATGCAGAAGCGGTAAATATTCCCGTATCTTAACCCACCTCCAACCTTAACCGTAACCATAATTGTGCCCTTAAATCAGTTTTCCTGGACTTCAGTGTAAATCACCTATATTATGGGGTAGTTTTACCCGATAAATACAGGGTGTCCCAAAAAAATGTATACACATTTTAAATAACTGTAAACTTGGTATTTATTGTAATTTTATTATTTAAAAAGTGTAAAACTCTTGACAAGTATTATTTTATTTTTGTCTCACTGTATGTTCTCAAACTGACATCCACTTAATCCACACGCCGCTGACAGTGCGACGCAATGGAATCGCACACGCCAGAAAACAAGTCCATTTGTAATTTGGGCGCATTCATGTTCAATGGCTTTTCTCATCCTCAGTTATTTGAAATATAGTAAAAATTCAGTGGAAAAACAATAAAATAATATTTCTTAATACCTTTGCATTTTTGAAATAATAAAATTATAATAAAGCTCAGAGTTACAATTGCTCGAAATGTGTATAAATTTTTTTGGGACACCCTGTATATTAGCGTTCTATATTCAGTTTTCTCCTATTGGAAACGTCACTAAGGGACGGTTCTGCGTTCCTACAAGAAATAAGACCATATTTCAATCTTTGCCTTTTGTTAACCAGGGGCCAACCTGCAAAGTCATTGCCACAGTGACGCCGCGAATTCATCCCTAAACGTTCACGTTTCCAATTTTTTGTCTTCGCGTAGTAATGCAAACGTGTATGTCCGAATTTTGATTGATGCGCCCACTGTCACTTTCAAAATTGCCCTTGATTTCGGTCAAACTAAACGCCTGCGGCAGGATGGACGCTGGTTGCCTACACCTATGGGCAGAATGTATGCATTAGCGGGAGTGAATCTCGGTGCAGCGAATGGGGACGTAATAATTACCAAAGATACTTAAGCCGCGTATTTTTGTCCTGTGCATCTGAGGTTTACCAGTTGTGGTCATCAGAGGCAGAAGTCAACAGAATGGAGGAGTTATTGTGCACGGAACCCCGCATTGTTGTCTCAGGCGGTGGTGGCCACTGGCGAAGCCAGGGCTAATTTTGACTGCGTCAAGCCTGGCCGGAGAGTATGTGAATGTGTGTTAGAGAGGTGACAGCTGCCTTTACATGATTGTGGAGCGAGTTCGAGTGGTGCATGATTAGTTTGTTGCATTGCCCGCAGGGGGTGTTGCGTATAGAGACTCCTGTTGCGTTGGCCGAGGTGTGGCGTGTTCAAATGTCCCTGTAGCAGCCGCGACTGTCTGAGCACACGCGTGTGCGCGAGTGGAGGTACAGTAAATTGCATAGCTGATTATATGTGAAGATCAAAATATGAGTGGGGATTTAACACACATATGAGGCTGTTTACTTTGTTCATTGAGTGAACTTGAGCCGCAAAATATTGTTAATTATAAAAGAATTCAGGTCAGATCAGTATACTGGGATCAGAATGGGGCCAAATCCAAGTTTGGTAATATACAACGAATTTCCTATGCTATGATACTCTGGGGACCAAAACTTCTGGCTTGTGCGTGTTGCACTAT